GTGTGTGTGTGTGTGTGTGTGTGTGTGTGTGTGTGCGTGCGTGCGTGCGTGCGTGCGCGCGTGTGTGTGCGCGTGTATGTGTCATAAAATCAAAGCCATTTTGCTTCCAAAGGCATTTCAGTTTGCTACCATGAACTGTAATGGTAATTATCACACTAATACACATTTAATACCGCTTTGGACACACACACGAGCGCGCGCATACCAAGAGACAATTATAAGTTTGACATCATAACCTACAAACAATCACCCACTGATACACAGAATATCAATTCTTCATTTCTCTTCCGTTAAAGATTTCTTCGCAGACTACGTTAGTGAGTGATTTTACACAGCCGAGTAAAGCCATATACAGGCGTATATATTGACTAAATATACAGCCAAGGCGAGTAAACGCACACCGCATGGATAGGCGTGATTCATTTACGATGAAACTCGACTTAATTGCAATCACTACTCGCTAACGAGTCGAAATTAATAAGCTTATGTTTGCATTATTACGACATTAAACTCAAAGAATGACATTTTCTATTGAGAGGTTTCGCTGACAGCGCTTATAAATTAATAATGTTATAATATGGCATATATAATGGCGCATTATCCGTCTAAAGACATCGTAATAATTAATAAGGAGCCAACGTCGACTACCAACACATAGATCTTTTAAAGGGGGGGGGGGCTATTCTTGCAAAATAAGCTTTTCGCACGTAATTAACCTTGACCATTTCGTTACTATTAAAAGCAAACGAATTCGAACGAACAACTTCCCCATACAGCTGGCGCAGCAAAATTAATGGTCACATATAGAGTGGCGTTTCCACTTTACAACCACGCTGGTTTAGAATTGTGACATTCTGTGAACATTAATCGATTTTCATAACGTAATAATGGATACAAATTTAAAGTCTAATCCGCCTCAGTATTTACAAAAGGGTGACTGACGTTATGTACAAAGTTACATGTAATAAATAAGTATATTGAATATTATAACATTTTAATAAATCCTTTCCAGAGTTCTTCCAAAAATCGTTGTGCTAGGTAATAAAGCGGACCAGGTTATTCTAGCCTGGTCTTAATAATCGCCTGTATCTATACATTGGCATAGTCGGTCTAATGAATTATTACATATAATAAAAAATAAAAAAAACAGAAACACAATCAACAAAGACCTGGGGAAAAACAAAACCACGAATCACCATAGTAACCAAGCCGCACCTAGTCGAATACCTCTCACCGATACAGACACTAAAGCAGTGAAGCCATCTAAGACCGTACCGACGTACACTGTACTTTCGATCCGTCTATTCGTGGCTATTCTCTAATGCTAAGCCTACACGATGCGTGGGATATTAACCGAGTGTTACGATAACCTGTGGTTATGGGAGGACTTTCGCGTCTGCACTAGTTATATGCCGAATGTTGTGTAAATAAACGAATATACGTCTGCGCTGACGATATTACACGGGTGTCATCACGTAATATGGATGAGTGAGTCCGCGAGAGGAGAGTGGTGCTAAATAGCTGCAACAACGTTGCTCGTCCAGAGGAGAGCATTCACAGATAATCCGGGTGCAATTTTATCAAGGCTTCGATGTACACTTCTCTTGACAATGATGATGCATACAAACGTTCACTTTCCCAAGTCCGGACGTATGCTAACTCCGTAAATAATGGTTCCTAATGACCCGACACAAAGAGGTTAAACTAAAGTCAATGGATGTAGGTGCCAACAACACTATGCAGACATATTAGACGACCATTGCCATTGACATCGCTAACCTATAGAACTGATAAGACCTATAATTGCCCTTCTCACTTTAACCTTTTGTAAAATATTCATAATTTTAGGCAAATTAACCGGATTCTTTTTCTGTAAAAACAATATTATTCGTGAGCGCAAACGAGATTTTCGCCGTTTACACCAATTGGTGCAAAATTCACGTCACTCTGACAACCGATCAGACGTCGGTAGACATGACACCCTTCGCCATTTAGAAATAATAACCGTGATTATTCAATCAGAATGAGAGACACGTACTCTACATCGAAACCTTAGTGTCGCTATTAAAATCAAAGAATTTTCTACTGGAGTCAAAATCGATCGCCACTCTTGATTATACTAGAACGCGAGGGGGGGCTTTCCTAATGGGAAGGTGCATGCACGAGTAGCACGCATCTCAATTACGTATCAGAGAATTAAAAGTGCTCACGCAAGAGTCACCTTGCTTTGCCACGAATAAGGAATAGCGCAGGGTACCGCTAGCACACGGTGAGGACATCCCTGCACCTTCCCCTCACACGGCCAGAAGTTGACTCAAGAGACATATACATACACCCTAGTTAGTTGGAGTGACGAAATACGGCGAGACTAATGGAAAAATCAGAGGTGGCATTTACCACATCTACAGAATGATATAAGCATAACGATCCAGCCATAATCACTAGACCTATATTGGATGCCAACATCTATATCGTCATACAAGTGAAACGGTAAATACAATCGGAATACATAAAACATAACATAACATAGCATAGCTACACATTACTAGGTTTAACATACGTATTTTTTGGGAGTTCGCATAGGCTTTAAGTATGATAAAATTTAGTCCACACTGAATCGCATTACATGCATCGCATACATGCAGTGTACTAACATTTGACTACACCGATTCCATACGTACCAGCGGCGGGCAGAAGTGTTTTACTTTGAGCTGATGTTCCTGTTTCGCTCGTACCTGCTCATCAGATAACAAAATAAACGTGTGTCAAATTATTGATTACATTGATTAATAATGATTACAAAGAACATGAAAGTCACCGCTACTGAAATATGTATCCAACTGTTACATAACTGTCGCGACAATTGGCTTGTTATGCTACTTCGCTACTTTAAAAAAAATAAAATAAAAAAAAAATAACAATAACACCCCGATGGCATTCGCATAATAGATTCCCAATTTACGGCATTAGACCAGCTATCTAGCAATGCATGCAGGCAGGCAGCCAGCAAGCTAGCAAGACAGTCAGGCAACTAACATACGTTGGCGCACGTATGCGATACGTTGTATTTCTATCCCCCAGACTACTTCCACAACAGTTTAGTAGCCTTGTTTTTGCCTGTACCAGGCCAAAAAATGTTACACGGGTGCAACATGGAAGTGCCCGCAGTATTTGAGACTGCATGCACGTTTGAATACAATACTGGGCAACAGCAACATCATCATCATCATCATCAGCAGCAGCAGCAGCAGTAGCAGCAGCAGCAGCAGCAGCAGCAGCAGCAGCAGTAGCAGCAGCAGCAGTAGCAGCAGCAGCAGCAGCAGCAGCAGCAGCAGCAGCAGCATCCTGCCGTAGCGACTAAAACCAAAAGTTATTTAGTAGCGAAATTCCTAATGAGAAAAACCGAACGCAATTATTCAAATGAGGCATGAAATATTTACGACCTTGCGCGCGGGAACCGTCTCGGTGCGAAGCCATATTAGGTAATGGCTCCACGCGCGCTGACATTAACGTGTTAACCAAGCCTCTGTGGCGCAGCAAGCGCGCGCGAGAGGGGGAAGGGGGGGGGGTAAAAATCACCGAAATGAATCGCGGGACTTTCTTGTTTTCCTTTGTAATTGCGCATTCACGTTTTTGTAATTATTCTCACACTTGTAATAACAGGTTGGCACATTAGCAAGCAAGCTCTCGGCTCGAGCGGACAAAGGCTAATATACCACCGCATCACCCCACTAATGTCTACCTACCTACCTCCTATAGCTACCTACCTGCCTGCCTGCCTGCCTGCCTGCCTGCCTGCCTGCCTGCCTGCCTGCCTACCTACTATACCTACGTACCTACTATACCTACGTACCTACTTACCTACCTACCTATGATATCTACCTACCTACCTACCTACCAACCTATCTACCTACCTATACCTACCAACCTACCTACCTACCTACCTACCTACCTACCTACCTACCTATCTATCTACCTACCTACCTACCTACCTACCTACCTACCTACCTACCTACCTACCTACCTACCTACCTACCTACCTACCTACCTATCTATCTACTATACCTACCTACTTACCTATTATACCCGACTTACCGATGTCTGAGTCGGCAATAACTATTCAATCAGCCGCGGTAGTAATTAACGCGCTAATCTCTAGGCATACCACGATCACAGGTATTTGTGTGTGTGCCTTATATATTAATAACGCGCGTGCAAATAAAATTCAGGAGCATGATTGCCCGCGTATGAGTATACATCTCCTCTCCCTCCTCACAGCGATGGTACGCGCCATCGTCACATTAATTAAAAATCAATGTCAAAGCGGCCGAGTTATATATTAAGAGGAAATTTATAGTAGGAGCTTCACCGATAGGTAGGGGATCACAGGACCCCGATAACTAGCGTTTTAATAATCAAGACCTAATTAATTAAGATTAAGCGATGTTACCTGGCCGCATTTAAACCAGTATTTTGTCCAATAGTCACCCTATACAGGTCCGACCGCGTCCGGGCCCTTTTTAAACATTATTGTTCTTCTATTCGCGCCATTTTCGTCTCGTGCGGTTTTTGACTTCCTTCTTTCCTTCCTTTCTCTGCACTTTGCGTTTTCCGAACACGGCGTTTGTTATCACAACGCAGCATTTAATATGCTTGGCTGCACATATGTGTGTGTGTATATATATATATATATATATATATATATATA